TATTTGTGGCAGCGGGACAGGTGCATGAAATTGAGTTCATGGTGATAAAGGAGCACGTCGGCCAGTGCAACTGTGTGGTTCATGATGTGTTTTTAATAGTTTTTGGACAACAATCGAGCCCAGTACCACATAGGAACAACATATATCAGGTTTAATACATTTAATAATTAGAATATTGCCTTTAAAATAATATCCACTGTCTTTCAGGCTCTGTGTAAAGAAGACATTGCAACACTCAAGTCTCGCCTTCAGAGGATCAAGAAACTCGGAGGGGAAATAACCAGCGCTGCCTCCTCTGCTTCCATTTCCACGCTGCCGTCTTCTGCCTCTCCAGCTGGTGCAGGACCTAAAGACGGGTCCCCTCAAGTCCCAAACACTGCCACGCTGCACGCCTGTGATGCTAAAGCCCTCAAGTCCACTGTAGCACGGGCCAAAGAGCTTGCGGCTAAAGCCCAGAGGAGGAAGGAGGAGAGAGAGGCTAAGGAGAGCAAGCAGAGCGAGACACAAACCCAGGACAGGTGAGCATGGAAAAACCGTCATACAACACCAGTTTACCATTTTCATCAACACGTGGTCCTCTAAGTCCAAATCAGGAGTTAAAGTGTCCTCTCTTGTCCCTCAGCACTGAGCAGCCAGCATACCAGCGGTACCACACCCTCGCCCAGGCGGCCCCTCCAGGCCTCTCCCTGCCTTACCAGTACAAGGTGCTAGCTGAGATGTTCAGGAGCATGGACACGGTGGTTGCAATGCTGTACAACCGCTGCGAGACGACAACCTTCGCCAAGCTCAAACAGGGAGTCCAGGACATGATGCACAAGTAGGTGGACGGATGGAGAGCTGGTCTGGTTGGGCTTTTCATGTTTAAATGAGGATGAGTGTTTCTTTCAAGTTTGTCATGTGACTATGGTAAAAAACAAAACAAAGGGTTTGTAAATCGTAAATCTGGACATCGAAAGAGTTTTTGGAATAGATTTCTTGGGAGTGATACAGATCATGAACCCTTGAAACATCACATAAATCATATCTAAACTGTCTAAATCCATTGCAGTACTGCATCAAAATCTGAGTTGGGCATCTTGAGTCAAAACTCACTACTGCAGAAGCTGATGTTTGCCTCTTTTTATCCACCTTGCAGGCGCTTTGAGGAGAGCCACGTGGGTCAGATAAAGGCGGTGTTTCCCGAGGCCTACACATTCAGACAGGAGAAGAACATCCCCACCTTCAACAGCAGCATTAAGAAGGGCAGCTACCAGCTCACCGTCGAGCCCGTCATTCTCTCTGGTTAGAATTGTCTCAGTCTTTAAAGACAAAATTTCTTCTGCTCAAAATATTTAACCTTTACAGTAATCCACAAAATGTCTCTAAATGGGATGTATGTAAACTGCAGCAAACATTTATTTACATATGTGTGTTTGGTTGTCCTCTTCAGACCAGAATGAAGCACGTCCCGTCCTGTCAGCCTCTCGTCTCCTGGAGAGAAGACAAATCTTCCATCTGAACCTGGTCTCCATCGTCAAACAGCACCACAAGGTCAGCTGCTGCTCCCAGCACAGCTCCCATTTGGTTTCACACAATGAGAGTCACAACTGGGCTCAGGCACTCAATGGGGAGAACATGGTTCTGTCCAAGGGTTTAAACTACTTCTAAAACCTACCTCTCTGTCCTGCAGGTCTTCCTGTCCCTGTTGGCTTCTCCAGTGTCTGTCCCAGAAGATAAACTGACCCGCTGGCACCCTCGCTTTAACGTGGACACTGTGCCGGCCATCCAGGCTAGCTCGCTGCCCCAGCCTCCTCACACAGAGAAACTGGCCACGGCTCAGGAGGTGCTGGACAAGGCCCGCTCACTCATCACACCTAAGGTACCAAATTGTCAAATTTCTCTCAATATATCGTCAGTTTGTTGTATTTTAGATGAATATTGTACAATCAAAGGATAACTGACCTGAAAAGTCATTCTTAATCATATGCCTGCTGTATTCATAACCGGTATTTATTCAGTGTAAATGTATATTGTCCTGTGTTCAGATGGAGAAGGCTCTGGTGTCTCTGGCTCTGAAGATGGAAGATAAAGCTGCAGAGAGCAACAAGCCGACAACTCCACAGAACTCAACAGTCCCGCAAACGTCAGCTGTCCCTGCGGCTCAGGTCCCAACTGCCCTGAAAGGAGTGTCCCAGTCCCTGCTGGACAGGGTAGGTACACCAGGAGGAGGGGAGGGGTGGTTGGTGGGATGGACTTGCTTTATGGGTATATTGGCATGGTTGAATTTAAGGGCTGTATGCTGCTATTGATGATAACCAATATTTCAAAAAGGAAATATTGATATTGTGTTAATTATCCAGCGTATTTTAAATAATTTCAGTGTCTTTCTGTTCTTGCTATGTGGTTCACACTCACAGAACACAAAAAAGAAAACAATTATTTTGACCTATTGCTTTTTTTCTAAAATGTTCATAGATATTATTGTTATTGAGTAATATTGTTATCATGAATTGTTTTTAGAAAACCACGTTGTGACTTACCGTGCTGTTTTGTTCGGTTTGTCAGATTCGGGCGAAGGAAGCCCAGAAACTCCAGGCGGCCATGACACGAAACCCTGTCCACGAGGATCGCCTGCTGATGATGTCACGGCTCCCCGAGCTGGCCAGGATTCTCCGGAACGTTTTTGTTGCAGAGAAGAAGCCGGCTCTAATAATGGAGGTGGCCTGCAACAGGATGGTGGCCAGCTACAGATCTGCTCTCAGCACAGGTTGGTTCAAACAGCAGCACAACCAGCATCCATCCAATGGTTTCTGAATTGTTTTTAACTGCTAGAATTCTAGTTAGGCAAGTAGAAACAGTTGAAGCATGCAGCATTTTACTAGGGGTGTGAGAAAATATTAACACTTGAGTATTGCAGTATTATATTTTGTGATAGTTTGACTTCCACTGTAACGTAGCAACATAAACTGAGACAGGAAGAAGTAAACGCATATCTTTTCTTGGCTGAAACTGCACAAAAAGCAGTGCCATGTTGGGTATTACAGAGACAAATGGAGGTAAATACAAATGCAGATCCCACTGTTCTGGTTGCATAAACTTTATTTTTCTCAATACTTTTTTACAAATCACAACACATAGCCTTTCTTACAGTATCGCAATATATTGAATCAGTGGATCCCAACCTGGAGGTCGCCAAAGCTTCACAGGGGGTTGCAAGGACTTTATTTTAAGGGGTGTAAGAAAACTTAGAAAGATGTACACAGTAGGCCTATATCTCAGGATTCTGTTCATGAAGAAAACTAAATTAAATTGTTTAGTAGACCTGAACACAAGCGATATTTGTAGAGCCTTCACTCTCAACCCTTCAACAACATCATTAGCATAAAAAAAAACAGAGACAGAATTGTAAAAAAAAGTTCCTAAAAATCATCTCTGATTAATATTTACCGAAAATAATGATTGCTAACCATCTGCTGAAAATTCATAGATCGTTCATTTTACACAAACTTCCTGCAGTTATTGTTTTCACTGTTTGGGTTCATTGTTCAGTTTATCATTTCTCTACTGTTACTGTTATACATTGAACATAATAGGAAATATCCATCAAATATGTCACTTAACTAATAGAAAATAGAAGTAATAGAAAATCAGCCCCCTGAGGAAAAAGATTGGGAGCTACTACTGAATCATAACCCCTGTAAAGTGATGCATATCATGTCGTAAGATTCTTGCCAGTTCACAATCACAGGGCTGTTGCTGTCTTCTAATTGTTACGTGAATGGAGAACTGTTGTGATTGGTTGTCCTTGCCCTCCATGAACAGGTGAAATGGAGAAACACATCCGTCTGCTGGCAGAAGTGGCTGCCGATTGGCTGACTGTTCATCCAATCAGAAAGGACTTCTACCTGAAGCTGAACAAGAACATGGAGCTCAACATGGTCGTGGACAAACTGAGCAGCAGACTGAGAGAGGAGGAGAGACTCTGAGAGACATTAATGACTAAGAGACACCATTTTCAGGTCCCTGCTGGATGAGCTGCCGGACGACTGAAGGCTGCTTGCTTATGAGTGCCATATTTTGTAGTGAATTCCACTGGTTTGTTGGCAGCAGGCACAGTGCACTCTAGGCTGTCAGTGTGGAAACGGTCGCCGATTGATGTAGGCACAGCTCCAGGACACCGGGGTGTCCCAGAACCCTGAGGGCCACATGGGACCAAGCAGAGCCAGTCTTGGTATTCCTACCACCCTGTGTTGTAAACCGGTTACGGTGATGTTTTGTTTTTTTGTAGCATTGGTGTGTACAGTTCTGCCTCGAGTCTTTTTATGGATCAGTTTTCTACAATGTAGAACTGATGAATGTTTACATTTTTAAAGGTCACTGTTTGATAATGTTTAAGAAATACAATCATTTGTCAGAGCCCCACTGCCTCCAGTTATTTTTCTTTTCAATACAATTTACTAAATAGAACAGTCCGTAACAAGGGCAATGACTGCATTAGTCATCTGAAAGGGACAGGGAAGCTGATTCTGTCATGATTACATGAGAGAAAAGGTTGCCATGAATCTGGAAAGTACTTTAAAGTGCTGAGTTTAGCCTGCAGGAGTCTGAGCCTTCAGCCTTGTGTGCTCAATGTTGTCATCTCAACGTTCACATGATATCATTATGTGTGTGGAGCACTGGGTCAAGCCTGATACACTGCTACTAACATTCTCCCCGTAGGTTTTCATCTATGGTTGGAAACCAGTTTCTTCTATATGCAAACTGTTGTAACTATTGATGAGAAAAGAAGGTTCAACAAGGCCAGCATTCGATAGTAATAGCTGAACATTCTGTACCACAATTTCTCAAAATGACTGTCACATTCACACTCAAAACCAAAAAAAAGGAGTTCAGATTTTATTTGTTGGGCCCAAAAATGGTTTCTACTGATGCAAATTAGAACACATTTAATTTTCAATGTTTGTATCTCGTATTGAAACAATTATAATATAGAGAACAATTTCCAACTGCAAGGGTCTGAGTGTCATCTTCTGCATAGATTTATTATATGAACATGTGGTTCAAACATACAAAAATGAGGCAGTAAGGACAACGGTACTGAAAATCACAAAGGAAACATGCATTAGTGAGGAGAACAGAGGTTACAGGTAAATCATAACAGTATGGCTTTAAATACAACACTCCAGATGAAATACCACTTTGGTCTTAACCAAAAAACAACCCAGAGCGTTTACTGTCAACTTATTTGATCGTTATTTGGCCTTAAAGCCCCTACAAGATTTATTTTTTTGTGTTGATTCTGATGCCCCCTGTGGACAAAAGTGGTAGTGTGCCTACCACCTCGACATTAAGAATAACTATATAGAAATTGCCAATCTTCTCACTGATGGTTTGTTTATGTGGGTCACATAGAGGCATCAGTATTAAGATTATTTCATAAGCAGTAGAAGGTATAACTATAGTTTGGCTTTTTACTGCTATTTTTCCCACCAGCTGTATGTTAAAAAAATATCAATAGTGGAATCAGATTCACAGCCATGTTTGGATATCTCACATACTTTGTGTACAAATGTTAAAACTTTAAGACCCTTTGAATCCACCAAAAGAAATATGTTTATGAACTGTACAACTAGGCTACAGTTAACCGTTTTATCAAATGTTCATGTATTTTATTGTCTATTAGTCAGCAGCATGTGCTACAGCTAGACAGATGCGAGTTTGTTAGTTAGAGCCATCAAGTCCCAGAAACATTCCTATTCTTTAAAGTTAAACTAATCTGTTGAAAGAATAGGAATGTGCAAGATATTAAATATACAGATTTACATATGGACATTCTAATAAATCCATTCTCTACCTACCAATCCTCTATACATACTTATTTCTGTTTAGGCACACATTGATTCAGAAACATATCCCAGCATGCATTACGTGAAAGGAACAGAAAATTCTGCACATTTTGAGGCATTTTAAGACATTTAAAGACTCCTGAAGATTCCGTGGAAATCCAATAGTTTCTCTGTCATAAATGTGGACCGTCTCCATGACGTCACCCATAGGTTTCTGAAGAACCTTAGTGAAGCTCAGTGTTGTCCGTTCTGACCGTCCTGACTCGGTCAGCTGGCTAATCCCAAAAATGGGCAAATGAGCGGAGTGGCCATGTCCTTAATTAAGAATAACTTTAAGCCTTAATATAATATAAATGAGTGAGTTTTATAAAAATTCCCCTCCGTACAGTTGTCATGAACATTCTGCTGTAAAGTTTTTATATGGGGCCCTTATGGAGATTGACTCACTCCTTGAGCCAGCCTCAAGTGGCTGTTTGAGGAACTGCAGTTTTTTGTTACTTTCGTTGTTACTTGGCTGGGTCATGTTGGCTTCATTTGCCAGCCACAGAGGTTGCTGCTTGATTATAAGCCCAAAGCATGCTGGGTAAGGCTCCTGTCCTTGCAACCAGAGCATTAAGAGATTAATGTATAAATGATTTATGTATATTTTAGCACTGACTGAAATGGCAAAACCGTACAAAAAAAAAAGGTGCGCAAGCTGAAGAGGTTTCTTGTTCGGTGGTGGTCACTTGGGAAGCCCATGACTGATTACAGGAGAGAAAAGGAAACATTGGTTTTACAGTGGTCCTCAGTACTGAACCAGGGAGAACAGACTGTGTGGTTTCAGTTTGTCGATGCCGTTCAGCTCTTTGAGCTCGATGACCACCATGCAACCTAGAACCTCGGCCTGCTGCTTCCTCATCAGCTCACAGGCTGCATGCAGAGTCCCTGCAACACACACACATATCAGAATGTCACCTTGGAAATGTTATTCCTTGGGCCACAATCTTGTATTTTAATGACTCGACATGACCTGACAATGCTCTGAGGACCTTTTTCTCTCCTCTTTGTCTGCCTCCTCATCTGCAGCTAAAAGCTCTTTCTTTCAATCCAAAATTCAATCTTCTGCCTCCAACCCCAAAAACTCCATCCATCCTCCTCGACCCCCCATCTCCCTCTTCCCTTCTACTGAGCAACTTTTCTTTTGTTAATAAAACGTAGTGATATGCGCTCATTTCCAAACCTGTCCTATATCCATCTCTACAAATCTTAATTTCCTTTTCACCTCTCTCTCGCAATGTACTAACACTGGTTATCTCCTACACCCCCAACAACCTGCCCTCTTGACCCTATCCCCTCTCACCATCTTCAGTCTATTGCTCCAGACCTCCTTCCTTTCTTCATCAATACTTCTAACACTCTAAAAGTAGCTGGAGTGAACCCTCTCTTAAAGAAACCCAAACGCAACTCTTCTGCATATCTCCACCAGAGAAACCTTTTTGGGGGACCACTCAACAGAGACTGCCCTCTCCTCCCATTGTAATCCTGCTGGACCTTTCGGTAGCATTTGACACGGTGAACCACTATATACTTGTTTTCATCCCCCAAGAACCGTGAGTCACATTCTACCTCAAGTACTAACCAAACTAAAGGTAACTCCTGTCTGAAGCTTGTAGCCTCACTACTGGCGTCCCTTAGGGTTCTGTTCTGGGTCCTCTGCTCTTTACACCAAGTCTCTATTGTTCACTCACATGGCTTTTCCTGCCACAGCTGTGCAGATGACAAACAACTAATTCTGTCTTTATCCAGATCTGAAATCCAGGTGGCAGACATCTCTCAGTGGAGACTTTCTCTCTTTGAACAATAGTTTACTTGTGAAAAATAGTCCCATTCATAATATCCCCAGTTTCATCTAAATCAAATGCTCTCATTTCAAAATACAATTAATACACTTATTTAATCTGAGATTTCATTTAGAGGTTGAACTTGCATGAAGCTTTTAGCTGTGGCAAATAAAGTGACTTCACAAATGAATGTTATGCTGTCTTGTTAACTGATAGCCAATGTGGATCCATAATGTCAACATGATTCTCTTATTGAAACTGAAGCAGAAGTTTCAGCAAAGAGAAGTATTATTATAATATAACATAAAATCTATTTTCGCTTGCTTTTTATGTTTCTGTGGAACATATGTTCCCTAGTCACACTGAATCCAATGAACATGATGGTTATAGAGCTGATCTAACCTCCAGTAGCTAGAAGGTCATCAATCAGCAGAATCTTCTGTCCTGGAGCCACCGCATCTTCCTGAATTTCTGCCTCTGCCTGTAGATACCAAAGCAAAATTCTTAGAAAATACTGTTCATTAGACAGACGGTGATGAAACATGGTGGTGATGCATCATGCTGAGGGAATGCTTCACAAGACTGAGGTAGCAATGAAAGGAGACAAATACAGAAAGGTCCTTGAGAAAAGAACATGACCTTTGACAAGAGCAAAGATTAAAATTCCACTCGGAAGCACGGAACAATACTCAAAATTTTCTTAGGCGCAAACACACACACACTGGTGGATTTTCTGCATGAAGTGATGTCTTTTAATTTAAACCTTGATACCACCTCAGTCAAGACTGAGGCTAAGTTGGTATTCATTGTGTTGGTCTTGCTGACTGGTTTTACAAGGTAGTATTACACAACCCTGTCCCCTGTCTCTAGAAATTACGTAAATTGTTTCCACAATGATGTTGTGGTGACAACATAATACCTGCCTGGATTATGTGCAAGAGACAGTCTGTTTAAGGGGGATCAAACACTATATTTATGTAACATGGTGCCAAGGAGGTGGCTGGACAGGAGGCCAGGCGTGAATGTGTCACCACAGTCCAGCCGTTGCGTCCAGACTTTGGTTAAGGTTAGGGAAAGATTATGATTTCGATTAAGTGTTTATAAAAATAATCGTATGCCTAATGTTACTGCTGAACTGTATTATATTGTATACTGACAATATTGGAAGATTGCCTATTTTGGCGGGAAACAAATGAAATATGTTGTCAGTGAACATTTTGAGCAAATGTAGATACGTACAGTATCTACATTTGCGAGTTGCTCATTATGTTATTAGAAAATATAATTTGGTATGCATTCTGGTTCCTCAAAACATATTTGCTGTTGCAAATTAGTAGTATATAACTATGATGTCTAAGAGATGGCTTTATTGCAAGGTATACAAGTATGTATGTAAGGTATTACATATGCACTGTGTAACTCTGTTATTTTCAAATTATTTGGTCTATAAAATGTCAGAAAATTGTGAAAAATATCCATTCCAGTTTCTCAAAGGTGATGTCCGTAAATTGTTTTGTTAGTCCAAAACCCAAAGATATTGAGTTTAATATGAGATAAACAGAGAAAAGAAGGAAATCTCTTTATTTGAGAGGCTGAAAACAGCATTTTCTGGCATTTTATTTTAACATTTATTTTTCTGTCAATCGACAAATTAATTAGTTGACCAATCTTTACAGCTGTAAGGCATTGCGTGTGTTTATCGGTTTGTATGCTGTATGTTACAGGTGGAACAGTGAGGAAGCTGTCATTTAAAGTAACAGCTGGAACAGCTGTGTTGCAGCAACAGCTGTGAAACTGATACTGGGATGGTGCAGCTGTCATGAATGGGCCCACAGGGGGATACATGTACACTGACACTGACACTCATGTACACATGTTCAGTGTGGTCTAATATCAGTCTTGCAAAGCCCTGCTGAAGGCTGCAGAAGGTGACCAAAGAGATCAAGTCCCACACACTCTCCCTACTGGTCAGCCAGTATTCCTCTGTGACTCCAACTACAGAATCAGGCCAGAAGATTGGTCTAGCACGTTCATAACAATATGTTGGGAAACAGGAGAGGAACATTTTAAACAGTTCTATCTATCTGTCTATTTGCTAATATGCTGTCTTATGTACTCAATGTACATGTGTAGAAATGTATGTAAATGAAACATTTCTATCAATTAATACATCTTTGAATTTCTGTACTCCTCAATTACAATACTATCTATAGTGTAAACTGAATCTAACTGCAAGGCCAACAAATACAGAGTAAAGGTTTGTGTTCTTTACCTTCCCATACTCCAGATCATATGCCACAGACACAGTGGTTCCAGGCAGCTTGCCTTTCTTTCTGACCAGGACAAAGCCGACACCCAGCCGCTGGGCGAGCAGAGGCCCAAACAGGAAGCCACGAGCATCTAAACCTGTACACAAGCAACATAAAGAGATAGCCAATTATACATTAGAAAGACACATTATGGCAAGATCTAAATAAGTAGTCCAAATAATGAATTTACATGAGAACATCAGATTTCAGAAAATTTGAAGGCTGCTCTCCCAACAGAATGTTGTATCTTCCCTAACTGGAACCTTTCAATAACCTTACATGCCCTTGAAATGGGACTCAACAATCAACTGTTTCCCTCAGCTCTGATTGGTTGTTTTCATTCAGGCCCGGTGGATTCTTGCCATTAGGAGCACTAGGAGGAGCCAGAGGAACCTGATTGTTTCACACATTATCTGTCTCATGTNNGGATATAGTGAAGGTTTCAACAAATATGACAAAAAGTTATCTTTATAAAAATTACCTACTGCAGCTTTAAACCAAGAGGATGGAAATATGAACAGGATGGAAGATATATTAAACTGATTTTATTTCATATTTTATTCCATTTGATTTCCATATGAAAGCAGTGTCTGACAATTCCTTCTTAAGTAGTATTGAGAGGAGCACTGGTTTACAACAAAATGTGCTTTGCTTTCTTACCTATGATCAGATCGACCTGCGGGTGATTCTTCCTCACATGTTCTTCGAACAGGTCTATTACTGCTGTCAGAGCGGCTGGATCCTTCAGAATGGGACAGATATCTCTGCAGGATACACACAGTATGTTAGTATGCCGTCATTTCAAATGGATATCAATATGAATCACTTTTATTTTCATTTCCTGTGGTTAGAAGTGAGTTGTTTATGGACTTTAGCTTCATATATATCTGACATATTCTTCCACCTGCACAACTGATTAAGCTAGTCAGTAAAAAAAAAAAGGAATTTCATGTTTATGTGGATGTCCTTGTCGGCTAGCTAGTTTTAGTATGGCTCTGCACCGAAATGGATGAATCATCATTCTCTGGGCTGCCCCTTCGCTGCTCTGGAAATACCACACTTCCTTTAAACTTGGCCCTGAAATCTTTTTTTAATAAATGGTTGAGTAATAGTCCTCCTTGCTTCACTACAAGTTTGCGGAAGTGTGGACTTGAGTCACAAATTGAGTCTTTAGATTTAAAAAAAGACTCAAATCAAAGTCCTGCAACTCGACTTTACTACCAATGGCTTCACTTCACTATTAAATTAATTATGAAAAGGAGATCACATAGAAGAAATGTGTGTGATTTGGTTAAAGAGATACAGTAGTTTGGGGGAAATTTACTGTCAGAAAGTCAGAGATTCAGACACCAATACATGTCTCAGGACAGACCTTTTTCATGTATTTGGTGTCTGAAGTTATGTCAAACAGCAATATCAGCCTATCTTGGCTCAGTTGTTGAGTTGATTTTTGAGTCAGACTTTGATAACCCCTGCTCTATGAACTGATCCCACCTTGAATTCTCACCTGCAAAATAATTATCTTTGTCTCCAATGTGCAGCCAATTTGACACTTTGAGAAGGTGGGACTGAGCTCTGCTTCAGGACGTAGTACTAGTTGTTAATGATCTTGTTCAACTGCATGGTGAAATAATCAGTGAGAACTATACCATGGCTTTCAGGGGAGCTGACTTAAGATAACTTTACAGTGTAATATGACTTCCTGGCAGCTTGTGGGTCAGTTCACCATGACCCGAGCTGGGTCCCACCAAATGTTTATTTTATTAAATCACTGATATAACTGATGTGCTGTATGTTCTGTTCAGGTGAATATTCACTGGTTAAGATGAGAAGGAGGAAGCAAAGTGGTCATTCATCTCCCTTTAGGTGTTAACTGACTGAGGCCAGCAGACAAGTGAAACTACAGTAACATTACAAACACTGTCCGTTATTACAGACATGTAGAGGTTAACGGGTACAGAAAGACAGCTGCTACATAACTTTCTAAGCCACCACTTTACAATGTGAACTATGACCAGTCCCTACTTCTGCACCAGTGACCCATGTGTTATTTGTTTCCAGGGCAACAGGCGCCAGCCACGTGTGGTAAGACGTGTATCCGCTGCGACCAGCACGAGCCTTCACCTGCTGTGTGTGGGGCTGAAGTCTACCTCCTCACGCGCACAACAAAACCGGTGGCACGCGGTTTAAAAGGCGGTAACCAGTATCTTACCTGAACACAATTCCTTTCTTCGGAAAGTCTGGAAAAGCTCGGATGTGTTTGTGGACCAGCTGGAGTTTAGACTCGGTGTCGGCTGCCATTCTAACCAAATCACCGCTGCTGCTCTCCCTCAGCTGCTGTGTCTCCCTCTACTTTCTTCCTCTAGTCGTTTGCAGCCCACACAGTGTAAACGCACTGCTGCCCCCTCTGTACGTTCAGAGCACTGCAGTGCAGCTTCGAGTCTGACCATAGACAAAGTTCTGTTTTGTAAAAAGGTTATAAAGCCTCCAGCATTTATCAAAAAGTAGTGCTTATTTTCTGATGCCAAGGCCCCCTAGATAGTATTAGTTTTGCAAGATTTAATGCTTTAATACTTTAAATGCAACAATAACAATGCTATGGGAAATGTAAAAAAACAAAACAAACAAAAACAACTACACTTTAATTAAGGCAATACAGTTCCACGCTACCAGATGAGATGATTTTATGTTCGCTTTGATCTCCTCAACAGAGTCAGCTGTAAAGTCATTATAAATGACAATAAAATAATCTTGAATCCCTAAAATTTGTATTTAAAATCTAAATATTACATTACATTCAATAACATGTCCAAAAATGTCCATTTTTGTGAGCTAGATGCTAAAAGGGAAGCTAGCTAGCTAAATTTCAGGAGCAACAGCTGTGTGGCAGATGCAGACAGTCAGAAGGTCAACACTAACTATACATTATTATAAATGCTATTTTATAATAATACACATAATAAAAATAGCAAGAGACAGGGGGTTAGTAAGATTATTATTATTATTATTATTAGCATTAGCATTTTCCCTCATCTCCCTCAGAATTTTGAACTTTTCTAATGCAGGATGAGGCTGTTTATCAGAGAGTAAAGGCTCTGTGAATATAGCTTGTAATTGTTGCTGTAATTGTTGAAAAATAGTATACCAATAATGTGATTTTACAGTATATGTCGTCTAGTAGCATATTTTAGGTGTATTAATAAGGAATCATAATGTAAACATATAAAGGCTCTATGGACTGGTTGCACAGCAGACATTTTAAATTGCCAAAGCCAAAGACTTAATAACAGTAGGGATGGCTCAATTCCATTAAGTGTTCCAGTAACAGTGACATTAAACCAGCAAGTACCCTAAGTGGAATGCAGCTATCATTAACACACCTGTGGGTTTCCTGCTATGACATGCAAAAATGTCTTCTGTGAAACCAGTCCATTTAGAATGATGGATACTATGACCAGATATTTGATGCTTTTATTGTCTAAAGAGAAGACAGGAAATACGCAGAGAGATGAAAAAGGTCACTGATGATAGAAGATAATAAATATCACCTTTCTGGACTTTATAGGCTGTGTACAAGTGTTGTAAAGCATTATAAAGCAGTAATGGAGGACATAATATGGGGAGGCTTATAAACTAAATGCAGGTCATGAATCAAGGAAAAGCTAAAGGAACAATGTGCTGTTTGGCAGAGACAGGGTTAAGTTGAACTAACTAATAGTCCGTTGGTGAGTGCAATGACTGTACATATCCTGCACACTAGTTGGTGGTGTTTGCCTCTAATGTTGCTTCATGTAAGCTCGAAGACAACATTGTGTTACAAGTTACTAGGAATAGTGTTAGCATTAAAATGGGTGGAAGAAAACAATCAATAAAACGGCAGCAAACTGACATACAAGTACCACTAAGTAAAGCAGAGGTTTAAACATTGATAAAGGATCATATACACAAAACTTGGCAGGGATACTGGGACTCATGTGACACCGGCAGACATCTTTACAGCATTCAAAAACATATATGACCCAAAGGGAGCCATAGGGACCCGTCTGAGAATAGGACATACAGGATTAAATCACATACTCCATATAATAGGCAGCACCCTACTGGACTATGCACACACTGTAATTAAAGCATGTATTAATAGATTGCAGCAAATATGATCAAGAAAGGAGGGAATTAATATCAGCATTGGATGAGGGACACAATAGTACATTGGAGAATCTACTTGGAAAGAAATCGTGGAAAGTACATCATATTTTAATTAATTATTTAAAAATAATAGAGAGAATTTAGTTATTTTCTTTGTTTTTTTTCCTGTCAATCTACTGCTGCACACTCCAGTCCAGCAGGTGGCGCTAATGCACCTACAAGCTGGTTTGCCAACCGCCGTTAAAACCCTAAGCAGAAGAAGAAATTGTGTAGGTTGTTGTTCTCGGAGATAATTGCCATGATACATAACGCAGCAGTTTCAGAATAGCAGGAGTGTCTGTGCTGCGAGATGTCGGTAGCTGGTGTCCGTGTGTCGGTATTGTTGAGGGCTTTCTCTCAGTGTGCCGCTGTCGGTGTTGTCCGGTGCAACAGAGGATTAAAGCTACCTGCCGCGAGCGTCACACCGATCCAGAGCAGAGCACTCAGTGGCACGCGGCACCTCACTACAGGTCAGTGGTGTTATTGAACGAGGATACAGTGTTTAATACAACATACAACGAG